CCCCCAGGGGGGATGGTCACGCCGCAGTCTCTTCTCGGGATCTTGGGCACACACGCACATGCGCCCGGCGTGAGTTCTAAGCCATCGGGTCCAGGATGCAAACCGCAGTCAACTACGTGGGAATCCAGCGACATAGCCATTATGCTAACTGCTGGTTCCCAGGACTTGTGTGCTTGAGAGAGAGAGAGACAGAGACAGAGACAAACAGAGAGATGGAAATTGAGAGATTGCCCTCTGAGGGAATGGCCATGCCATAATCCCTTCTCCTCCATTGTCTTCCGAGGATCTTGGGCACACATGCACATGCACCCAGCTTGAGTTTCAAGCCACTGGGTCCAGGACTTGAACCATGGCCAGCTATAGAGGAGTCCCACGATGTAACCACGACACCACCTTCTGGTCCCACGTTTTGTTTGTTTTTGAGAGATTTTTGCTATAGGGTGCATGTACTCACTAGAGAGGCAGAGAAAAAATGAGAAAACTACTCCTGGAGGGATGGCCACACCAATATTCCTTCTCCATTCTCCTCTTGGGACTTTGGACATACATCCATATGTGCCCAGCATGAGTTTCAAGCCGCCAGATCTGGGACTCAAATTGTGGTCAACCATGTGGGAGTCTAGCACCTTACCCACTATGCTGCCTGCTGGCCTTGAAAGGATTTTTATTTTTGTATTCACTGGTTGCTTCTCAACAACCATACTCTATTCTTATTTATCAAGCATATTCTCTCTGACAGGTGCTGTTCTAGATCCTTGGCCATAGAGGTGAAAGGCACAATTTTTTTAAAGAATTATTTTATTTAACTTATTTGTTTTAATTTGACCATAGAGGGACAGAGTGGAAGGGGGAGTGAGAAAGCAAGCCTCTAGGTCCAGGACTTGAACTGCAATTGGCTATGTGGGAGTCCAGTGCCCTTAACCACTACACCACCTCCCTCAGCTCTCTGCTGAGGTTTCTAGCTCACAGTATGTCATTTACAAACTGTGTAACTTTGGACAAGCCATTGAACTGAGTCTCAGTTACTTTAAGGACGAAAGGAAACAACATAAATAAAAGTAGTCTGTAAATGTAAAACACTGTGTATATTAATTAAAGAGATTGTTCTCAGAAAAAAAAGGATCTTTTACAGAGGTAATGAAACACAATTAAGGACAAGCAGGTGGCATGATGGTTAAGGCGCTGGACTTCCTCCTGGCCGACTGTGGTCTATGTCCCAGACCTTTCTCATTTTCTCTCTGGCGAGCACATATATCCTACAGCAAATTAAAAAAAAATAATAACAAATAAAATTAAATAATTCTTTTGAAAATATTAGGTAGGAGTAGTGACACACACACACAAACTGTAGGTCAGTCTCTTCTATTAATATGCATATATAAATTCTAGACAAAATATCACAAGTAAAATCCAGCACCATATTTTAAAATGTATAAAAATATGCATAAGGGACCAGCGGGTAATGTGGAGGTTAAGGTACTGGATCCCACATGGCTGACTGCATGGTACACGTCCTGGACTTGGTGGCTCAAATATCATGCCAAGTGCATGTGTGTACATGCCCCAAATCCTGAGAGGAGAAGGGATTGTGGTGTGACCATCCTCCAGGGGCTGGCTTCTCACTATCCCCCCCCCCGCTCTCTCGGGTGAGTGCATGTGCCTGTAGTGAAACGACACATATATATATATATACATATGTGCCAAAAAAAAAATCCATCATGATCTAGATGAGTCTATCCCAGGAGTGCAGAGATGATTTAACATTAGGAAATCTTTAATATAATTAAATTACATTAGAAAAATTAGAAAACTTAAAATAAGAGCTATGTGATCATTTCAGTAAGTGTCAACATAACAGCATCTATTTCTTTTTTCTTTTCTTTTTTTTGGAGAGGTTTTTGCTATAGGGCGCGTGTGCTCGCCAGACAGATAGAGAGAGACAGAGAGACAGAAAGTGAGAAATCACCCCCCGGGGGGATGGCCACGCCGCAATCCCTTCGCCTCCATTCTCCTCTTGGGATCTTGGGCACGCACGCACATGCACCTGGTGTGAGTTTAAGCCACCAGGTCTGGGACTCAAACTGCAGTCGACTATGTGGGAGTCCAGTGACATAGCCATTACGCTAACTGCTGGTCCCATATTTCTGAGAAAAACTCCTTAATAATCTGTAATGAAAGAAAATTTCACTAATGTGATATCTATGACAGACATGGTTCTTATACACATTCTCATTAAAGTCTGGAATAAAGTGGGGCCATTGAGTGACGTGGTGGTTAAGGCAACTGGGTTCTCACATGGCCAACTGCTTTTTGAGTTGTGAACCTGTAGCTTGAAAATCATGCTGGGTGCGTGTGCATGCTTGCCCAAAAATCCTAAGAGACTGGAGGAGTAGGGATTATGGCAGGGCCATCCCCTCTAGGGGGTGATTTCTTGCTTTCCCTTTCTCTATTTCTGTCTCTCTCCTGTCTGGTAAGTGCACAAGCCATGTGGCAAAACTCTAAAAAGAAAAAATGTCTGGAATGAAGCAAAGGTATATTACTGGACATTGTATTTGCTCTAGCTAATACAATATGATGAAAACAAATAGGTATAAGGTATAAACAGTAAAAAGAAAGAATACAGGCTATCATTTTTTTCTTGTTTTTCAAGAACTTTTCTTATGAAGTAAAACATAAGAGCAAAATTATATGAAACACATGTACATCTTATTGAATTATTACTATTTTTATTTATCTATGATGATCACATGTGTGTGCATGACAGAGAGAGAGAGAGAGGGAGATGATCACCCTCCACGGGTCTGGGCACACCGTGACCCCCTTTCTAGCCTTCCTGCATGTTGGATCCTGGGACTTGCAAACATGCCCAGCATATTTCAGCCAGGAACTTAGATTACGGTCGCCATGTGGGATTCAGGTTCACTTGAGCAGTGTATTACCACTGCAGCATGGAGCCAGCCCTGTTGAGTGATTACAAAGCAAGTACGTCTGTAGCCTCACCAGCCCCTGCACAGAACGTAGCTAGTCACTCAGAAGCTCCTCTACGTGCCCCTCTCAGTCACAGCTCCTGCTCTCCCCAAAACCATGGTCCTGACTTTTATGGCAACCACTTGTTTGAAAAATGCTGGTTTTTTTTTTTTTTTCAGATGCATTTTCAGGCGATATGATTATACATTTAGAAAGTCAAGAGACTGGACTATTGGAACTGAGTTCGGCCGGGTGGACTTTGCTCTTACAGTTACTCTCTTTCTTTCCTAAAGCATCCATTTCTTCTGCCCTACTTGATCATTCTCTCTCTAGCGTCTTTTGTCTTAAAAACAAAAGCAAAGGGCCAGCAGGTGGGAAGTGGTTAAGGTGGCTGGATTCCCACATGACTGACCCCGGTTAGGGTCCCGGGCCCAGTGGTTTGAAAATCACACTGGGCGTCTGTGCGTGAATGCCCAAAATCCCGAGTGGAGAATGGAGGGGAAGAGACTGAAGCATGGCCATCCACCTGGGTGGTGATTTTTCCCTTTCCCTCTCTCTGACTCTCCTCTCCAGTGAGTGCACACACCCTTTGGCAAAAACCTAAAAAGAAATCAATCGATCAATCATTATAGAAGCAAAATAAAAAATACAACCCTCCCTCACCGTGCAGTTCCCTCCAGTTGCTACCGGATTTTCCTGCTTGCCTTCACAATGAGAGTTCCTGAAAGCTGACATAGACTCTCCGGCATAATCTCAGCCCTGCTCGTAGAAATTGGATTCCTTGTGCCCACACTGTTGAAATGGCTTGTCAAGTTGTCTTCAAACAGCATCCGTGCTTTCCAAAACTTCCCTGATGCAAATCTCGTAGTTACAATATTTTTAAGAATTATTTTATTTAACTTTATTTATTTACTTATTTTAATTTGACCAGAGAGGGACAGAGTAAGAGAAAAAGAGAAAAAGAAAGAGAGAAAGCAAGCTACCAGGGCTGGGACTCAAACCGTTGTTGGCCATGTGGGAGTCCAACAGCCTTAACCACCACACCACTTGCTGGCCTGCCTAGTAGTTACACTTCTGTCCTCAACTTGAAGTAGTGTTCAAAGCAACTAGTGTTGCTTTCCTTTCTCTTCTCTTCTCTTCTCTTCTCTTCTCTTCTCTTCTCTTCTCTTCTCTTCTCTTCTCTTCTCTTTCTTTTCTTTTAAAGTTTATTTCATGAGAGTGAGAAATGAGAGACACACAAGCGCCCTCGAAGGCGGTCTCACCTGTGATCCTCCCGACCCGCTTTCCAGTCAGCCAGGCTCATGGGCACATCTATAAATCTCATTTTTCAAAACTTGGAGAAACACGATGTAAGATGTTACATATCTGGTCCTGTAGGATAGGATCTAATCAGCTGAGCGCTAGACCTGTAACCGTGTCTAACGTTTGGCGTCTGCGTCGTGCTGTTCATATAGCATGTGACATGCTAATAGGAAACGCTCATCTGCTTGAAGCTTTTAAAAAATGTGGATTAGAAGGGTGCTGAACACTTCCAAAAAGATTGATTACTCTGCCTCAAGGAACAGAGAAACCATCAGGAGAATGATGACGCAGGACTGGGCTATCAAATAACCCAGAGATGTGTGCGAGGTGTGTGTGCGTGTGGTGTGTGTGTGTGTGTGTGTGTGTGTGTGTGTGTGTGTGGTGGGGGGAGGTCCTGGGAGAAGCAGTGTAGGTCTTTATGTCGATAATAGATGCTGTCTTGATTTGGAGGGGATTTCCAACGCTGGGTTGTTTAATGTTAGTCAGACTTCTGAGGTTAAGGCTGGCTTAACATTAGCTTAATTAAAAAGCCAGTCAGATACGCCTAAAGGCTCAGGCGTGCGAGGCCCAGGGCTGGGGCTGGAGAAACCGTCAGCACCGGGGCGAGGTCAGCTCCCGGGACGCTTCCCGCCTGCGGGGAGAAGCCCACCCCACGCCCGTCCCGCCTCCCTTCTCATTGGCCACTGGCCGGCTGCTTCCAGCGCCCATTGGCCCGCTCCCACGCCTGCTTCTATAAGAGCCGGGCAGCGCGAGCCTGCAGGCAGATCCAGCTTCCCCTGTGGACGCGCCCGAGGTGAGTGGGACGGCCCCTTCCCGTGGGGACCAGGGACCGCCGTCAAGGAATTGGGAGCGCTTGGCGGGCGCGGGGCTGGGGCAGGGGCACTCTTCAGGGAGGTAAATGCCCGCGAGGAGCCGGGCCTGGAAGATCGGGTTGTATCCTTGTGATGGCTCATTCTTTCTCCGACCCTCTTTGGAGAGAGAAGACACTATTTTTGAGGGCCTCTTCTGTGCCAGAAACGTGTTATGGACACACCATCCGATTTCGCCTTCGCAACGAACCCGTGAGGAAGCTTATTTCTCGCATTTTACAAATGAAGAAGCGGAGTTCAGGGTCGAACTCACGGCGGTGTGACTCCTCTCTGCCAGCAGGAACAGGCCCATTCTCCTGTCTTTCCTCTCTATCAAAGGACACCTTTGTTTCTTGTCCTCCCCAAAAGAAAACACTTCCTTAGACATCTCCAAAAAAAAGGGACTCTCAGAGGCAGTCTCTGCCTCACGCCTCCCTCATCACCTCCATCCAACAGAGGACCAAGAGCTTGTACAAGGTGGCCATTGAGGAAGAGGGTGGGCCCAGTAGTTCAGATCCAGCCACGCTCAGCCCTGCCTCCCACTGCTTAATTTTCAGAGATTTAAAATTACTCTTCTATTTATGTTCTGGCTTGGAGGAAAAACGAACTAGAGTTGAACTTTATAACCAGTAAAAGTTTGTGCCTATCAGTTCTCAAAAAAGAAAATAAAATAGATGGCATTCTAGCTACAAATGTTTCTGTAAAGATATAATCTGTGTTTACTTATTTTATGACCTAATTTATTCATTTGTATGTGTATTTTTAAGAGGTTTTTAAAGAATTATTTTACTTAACTTTATTTAAATTTGACCCGAAAGGGAGAGGGAAGGAGGGAGGGAGGGAGGGAGAGAGAGAGAGAGAGAGAGAGAAAGAGAGAGAAAGTGAGAAAGTAAGCCGCCAGGTCTGGGACTCAAACTACAGTCGGCCATGTGGGAGAGTTCAACGCCCTTAAGCACCACGCCACCTGCCAGCCTCTGTACATATATTACTATATTAGCTCATCTTCAGGATGTATTTTCTATGTCCATTTTCTTTGCTGGTGCCTTTATTTCCTAAAATAATGTTTCTCGTGGGCGGTGTTTTCTGTTGTATTTCATTTCCACTTTCTTCCTCACTTCCACCGCCCCACCCCCCAATTTAGACAAGAAAATCAAGATTTCCTGGAGTATTTCCCTTAGAACAGTCCTCCTAGCAGTTTTTAATTCTATCTTCCAACAGCATCCATGCTTTCAAAAGACTTTTAATTTGATAGTGCTTTGTGCTTCCTAAAATGGTTAAATGTATTGGGTTGTCAGAAAAGTAATGACACATTTTTGCATAGCAAAACATTTTCCTACCACCTAATTACACTTCTTACTTATTAAGTCGAGGGGAGAAAGAGCTGATTGATGTACACACCTCGACCTCGACGCTTCCCAGGGGCTGCTGATCTTCTGACCGCCTTCGTGGTCTGTCTTCCTTACTTCCAGTGCCGCATATTCTGCCAGGATAGAAAATGTAACAAGATAATGCCCCTCAGCCTCTCATGAGAAAAGAGAAAGGGCCAGCTGGGCAGTAGCCAATTAGAAGTGTTGCTTTAAAAAGAAAATGAGATTTGTTAATAAAATAAAAAACCGGGCTATAGTGTGGGTTTTTTCTCAAAGAAGTAGGAGGGAGGGAGGCTCGGTGGGGTAAGGGAAACAGTAACAAAGGAAAATACGCAGGTTCTGAAAGGTGAACAAAATCGACACCTTCCTTATAAGCTCTGCCAACAGCGCGCCTAAGCGCTAAGATCTGTCCTAAGCTTTGGCAAAGCCATGGCCGAATTCTGGTAAAGATCAAAGCCCTAAGGTCTGTAAGCTTATCTGAGGGCTGGGGAGGGAAAGGGGTCAGCATTTTCTAGTTTCTTAGCAACACATCTTTTTGAGAACTTTCATTCATATCTTGATTTAAACAAGAAGAATATGCGTTTGTCCAAACCTTAATGTAGCAATTCACTCTTTTTAAATAAATCAGAATAACAAAACATGCCTTGCGTATAATAACCATTCAACAATCATTTTTGCCCTGTGGCAAAAGTCTAAAAAAAACTATCTGGTGCATCAGTAATGAACTGCGCAGGAAAAGATCCCACAGGGTAACTGTGGTTTGGGTCGTCAGCCTCAGAGGGCCTGGCGTGCTGGGCATGTGTGCAAGTGCCCCCACATCCCATGGGCTGCAAGACTGAAGGAGGGGGAGTGCGACTTATCCAGACTCAGGCGGGGGCCTCTCTCTCTCGCATGTGTACACGTTCTACCATGAATAAAGGAAAGAAATCTTTTTAAATTAAAAAAACTTAAGCACTTTTAAAACTTAAATTCATTGAATTAATAACTATTTGTTAAATTTTGAACTCTATGTTTCAGTCTCTTCTTGGTACCTAAAATAGCCTAGTTTCTTCTGTGGGGAAACTTACCCTAATAGCAAGTTACATGCATTGTGGTGTTTAAATGTGTCAGAATTTTGCATGTTATGAGTTCTGTTAGGTGTTTCGTAACTTAGTCATATTAGAAAGGTTAAGGGGCTGGCAGGCGGCATGGTGGTTAAGGTGGTATGTGGGAGACCATGGTTCAAGTTCTGGGCCCGACAGCTTGCTTTCTCACTCCCTCCCTCTTCTCCCACCCTTTCTCTTCTGATCAAATTTTAAAATAGTAATAATAAATTACAACCTGAGTTCTCTCGTTCTCTCAGTAGGATAGTATAGTCTTAGGTCCCTTAAGTTTTACATTGTAATAAAATGAGGTGATGGCAACAAATAATTTCAATGAGGTATTTGTAAGAGTCTCTGACTTGATCATTCTCTATGAATTATTATTTTTAACATTATGTCTAAAGTATGGCTAGAAGACTTAACGTTATTAAAATAAATCTAGATATTTAAATAATCACAAAAAATAGTAATAATAAATAAAATAAAATAAAAATAAATAATTATTTAAAAAAGAAAGATTAAGGTGAGTCTGCTAGGTGGGTTAGTGGTAATGTACCGCACGTGAGGCTGGGTGCATTTGGAGGATTATGAGCTTGGTTCCTTGGCTGACCTGTGCAGGCCAGTGCACATCCATAGTCCTGACTGCAGGCTTGGAGAGAGGATCGTGATGTGAGACCCTAACAGGAAAGCTTGTCTCTCTCTGTCTCTGACTCTTATGAAACAAATAATTTCTCTATGGTTAAGTGCTTTTTTTGAAGCCATGCGCTGATAAACATCAGACTAGTTATTGAAAAACTTCAAAAAGTTTGTAGGAAAATGTAATTAAAATATATATTTATTTTGGTGCAAGAAGACTTGAAATTGCATGCATACATTTTTAAACATTTTTATCAATCTATTATTATTATTATTAGCTTTTAATTTGCTATAGGGCACATGCAATTACCAGAGAGATAGACAGAGAGAGAGAGAGAGCGAGAGAGAGAGAGAGAGAGAGAGAGAAAGCCAAGCACCATATCCGGGGCTCAAACCATGGTTGGCCATGTGGGCTTCCAGTGCCTTAACCACCACACCACCTGCCAGCCCCCATAGGTTTTTTTCATAATGATTATTTTCCATGAAATCTTTATAGACACTTGTATTTCTGTACACTGTCTTGCATAGTAAATGTGGCTGAGAAGACACTGAAGTATTTCAGTAGATACCTGGTCCATCTTCTGAGAAGACAGCTTTTGACTAGAAGCCAGGAGTTTTGCTCTTCTTAAATTTTTGCCAGATGGTGCATGTGCTCACCAGAGACAGAGAGGAGAGAGAGAAAGCGAGAAAGCACGCTTCATGGGGCATGGTTACGGTGTAACCCCTTCTCCTCCCTTTCTCCCTTCATTAGGGATTTTAGGCATGCATGCACGCACACCCAGCATGTTTCTCAAACTGCCAGGTCCCAGACTCAAACCATGCAGTAATCCATGTGGGATCCAGCCACCTTAACCACTACTCCACAGACTGACCTGCAAGGAGTTTTGTTCTACCTTCAGTTTTTCTGAACATTTTTAGCGTAGCCTTGGTGAACTCAGATCTATGCTAACATTCAATTTTCAAGGTCCCAGTTTAAATGTATGTTTTCATGTTCTCTAGCTGTGACCATAGAAAAGTTTCAGGAAGCTTTGATTTTCTCATTTTTCCCATCCCCAAAGATTTAAAAAGAATTAAACGAGATAATATTGGCTCATGATATTTGCAGACATAGGACAAACGGCAGTTCTCTTGCCTCCCTCATAGGTTGCTGAGGGTGGGTGGAAGCCCAGCCTCAGGGCACAGGCCATACTGTACTGAACTGCAGGGTTGGAAGACATATGGCCCACTGCGGTTTGGATCCCTGGTAGATTTCAAAATACACCAAGTCCACGTGTGCCCAAGATCTCGAGGAGCCGGATTCTGGAGAAAGGGATGAGTGGGGGTGCTTCTCTCTCTCTCCCATGCATATGTGTGTTTTGTCTCATGAATGGTGGCTTCAAGGCTGCCACTTGTCTCGTAAGGAGGCCCAAGCTGTTATACAACACGGGTTAAGGCAAAGGCTTTATGGAGGAAAGGGAAAGCTCTCAAGAACTTTCTGTTCACAAAGGCAAAAAGGATTGAAGCACCTCATCTCGTATCATCGCACAGAAGGACATTTCAAAGCCAGGACTTCAGCTTAATGGACAACTGCCTTATCTTTATTTTTCTCATACAGCCTTGAGTCAGACTGGCCATGGGGCTAGACAGGCACTTGCATGGGGTAGGAGATCAGTGCAAACTCCCGAGAATTGCTATGCAAAGACCTTCGAAGAATCTGCCCGCTCCGCTTGCCTACGTGATCTCTCAGGGTGCTGTGGTGGTTGGTCACCTCTTTATCTGCTCCTCCCTCCTTGTCTTCAAGATCCTCTTCAAGCACGTGTCAGGGAATCCTCTCTGAACACGTAGCGCTGCCATCCCCCTGCCGCCTGTGCTCCCTATTACAGTTCCATCCTTCTGCATCGTCATCCCCTCCCCACCAGACTGTCAGTTCCCTGAGGGTGGGGCTGGTGTCCTCAATCAATTATTTTTTTAATTGCCAGAGAGCATATGCACTAGAGAGAGAGAGAGAGAAAGAGAAGAGAAGAGAAGAGAAGAGAAGAGAAGAGAAGAGCAGAGCAGAGCCCTCCCCCACAACGGGGCATTGCCACGCTGCAATCCCTTCTTTTCCCCTTCTCCACCCTGTTGGGATTTGGGGCAAGTACACATGCATGCCCAGATTTGAACTGCAGTCAGGCATGTGGGATCCAGCTCCCGTAACCACCAGGCCACAGGGCTAGTCCTCTTTAGGCAATGTTTTCATTGATGTATTTATTCTATGACATCTATCCCAGGCCTGTTAGGTACAGGACTGTGCTAGGTGTTGGGGATACGGATGGTGACTGAAGCAACATGATTCCTGTCTGCATGTTGCTCACAGTCCAGTTGGAGAGACAGATATCATCAAATACTCCCTGGAACAAAGTGACAGCTGCCACTGTGGTTGTCCTGATGAGCGGGAGCCATAGAGTGTTGTGACAACCGACACTGAGAAGGCTTCCATGAGGAAGGGACCTTTGAGCTGCAGCGGATCAGGACACAGTCCCTGCCTCCAGGTCCTACTGCCATCACCATGTGTGCCCAGGCTCGGACCAATTAGTGCAAGCAGGTAAATGGCTGTGAAATCAGTTATCTCATTTTGAGTTATTAAAAGTTCATTACAGAGGCCAGCAGATGGTGTAGCAGTTACATTGCTGGGCTCCCACACGGCCAATCGCTGTTCAAGTCCTGGACCTGGTGGCTTGAAAATCATGCTGGGCACATGTGCATGCGTGCCCCAAAACCCCAGGAGGAGAATGGAGAAGGGATTTTGACATGGCCATCCCCCCTGGGAGGGTGATTTCTCACTTTCCCTCTTACTGTCTCTGTCTCTCTCTCTCTCTCTAGTGAGCACATGTGCTCTAAGGCAAAAACGTCCATTAAAAAAAGTTAATTACAGGGGACCAGCAGGTGATGTGGTGGTTAAGGCACTGGACACTCCCACATGGCTGACCGTGGTTCGAGTCGTGGACCTGGTGGCTTGCTTTCTCACTTTCCCTCTTTCTCTCTCTCTCGATCTCTCTCTGTCTGTGTCTCTCCCTGGTCAAATTAAAGGAAAATGAATTAATAAATAAAATTAAATAGATCATTTTTTGAGAAAAAAAGCTAATTACATTAGAACTACAAAATAAAACTGGGGAATTACAAAGGGTTAATAACCAAAGGAAAACTAATCAGAATATATCCTCAAAATGCTACTTACGTGCATTAATCCAAACCTTATTTCTCAGGTGTGTACCTCTCAACTGAAAGTCGCCAATACAAAGGTATCGTACCCTACTTTTATGTTGCGCAATATCTTCATCTCCCCAACACATGCACACGTGCGCGTGCACACACACACACACAGATTTTTAATCATGCAGCACTTTTAGGCCAATATTGAAAAGGTTTCAGGGCCGATGGCCTAGGGGATTTCATGGCAGAGAGCAAAGGAGAGACAGTGGCACCAGAATTCTGGCTAGCAGCCCCCTTCTTGTCCACACGTATCTAGAGCTGGCCCTCTTGTGTGCACCAAAGAAATCGAAGGTCTTGCCTCTGCTCTGAGGTGGCTTTCTCCCTTGTTTGCAGGCAAAACATAGATAAAGGAAGTACTTGGAGAAGCCATTCAAGACCCACTAGGAGGAGTGCTGAAATTGTGGGGGGAGAAGTAGGTGTATGTAGAGGGCACTTCCTGTGGCAGGTGCAATAACCAGGAAGATCACAATAAACCAGTGGAGTTTAGTAGTGTGCTGAGAGAACGATCAGATTAGGAAAAAGATAGATGAGCCACTCTTTGGGTGGTGGTTAAGGGAGCTGTATTCCATGGTTTGAGTCCTGGACCCAGTGGCTTGAAAAACACAATGAGCAGATACACACGTTTGCCCCAAATCCCAACATGATGGAGAAATGGGGGGGGGGATTGCAGTGTGACCATGCCCCATGGAGGGTGCTTTCTCCCTCTCCATCTCTGTTTCTCTTTGACAAGTACACAAGTCCTCTGACAAAAATTTTTAAAAAATATATAGGGAACCTGTAGATGGTGTAATGGTTACATTGCTGGGCTCCCACACTGTCAACCATGGTTTGAGTCCTGGATCTGGCAACTTAAAACTCAGGGCAGGCACATGTGCATGTATGGCCAAAATCCCAAGAGGAGAATGGAGGAAAAGGGATTATGGTGTGGTCATTCCCCTAAGGGGTGATTTCTCACTTTCTGTCTCTCTTTGTCTCTCCAGAGAGTGCATGCAGCCTATAGCAAAACAACAACAACAACAAAAAAAACAAAACAAAAAAACCTCCTAAAAAATAGAAAGAAAAGGCAATAACATGGATTGTATGCCTATTACATTCTGGGTACTATCTTAGTATATTATTTTGGTCTTATTACATTCTTGCACATCCAGGTTTTATTGGCAAGGGCATTGAAACTGGGAGAGTTACTGTGCCCTTAGTTAATCAGATATTGTCTGTATTGCATAACTTACTTTTTAGCTCGGCCTCTATATTTTCAAACCTTATTTTTAGAGAAGTATACCAAATTCATCATGATTGAAGACAACAAAGAGAACAAAGATCATTCTTTTGAAAAAGGAAGAGCAACTCTCATTTTTTCCTTAAAGAATGAAGTTGGAGGACTTATAAAAGCACTGAAAATATTCCAGGTAATCACACTTTATATATCTGCATAAAACTCTTCTAAAAACAAGTCTTTAATATTATATTTAAAATAAAAATTGTGGGGCCGGCAGGTGGCATGGTGGTTGAGGGTACTGGGCTCCCACATGGCTGACAGTGGTTCAAGTCCTGGACCTGGTGGCTTGCTTTCTCACTTTCTCTCTATCTCTCTCTGTTCAAATTGGAATAAATAAAGTTAAATAAAATAATTCTTTAAAAAATAAAATAAAAATTGTTCTAATTCTTCAGATATAGGATACAGACATATGTCTTCTTTTTGTTTTTTTTTATTTATTTATGTGTGCTTGTTTTATATATTTTTCGAGAGATTTTTGCTATAGGGTGCATGCACTCACCAGAGAGAGAGAGACAAGAAGTGAGAAATCACCCTCTGGGGGACGGCCATGTTGCAATCCCTTCTCTTTCTCCTCTTGGGACTTTGGGCACACACACAAATGTGGCCACCATGAGTTTCAAGCAGCTGGGTCCAGGACTTGAACCACGGTTGACTACGTGGGAGTCCAATAACATAATCATTATGCCATCTGCTGGTCCCTTTTCTTACATATTTTACTTCCTTCCCCCCCACCTCCGATTCTCTCCCTCTTACCCTCTGCCATTTTCCACCCTCCCCCATACTGTCTTGGGTGTCCACAGTTGCTCTCCACACTTTTATACCACCCAATATTTCAGTTTCTGCCATAGAGTACACACATTTGGTAGATGTTAAGTGGGGACATACAATGCCTCTCTTTAAGAGCTTAATTTTCTAAAATATCATTTAATTCTTTTTTTTTTCTGAGAAAAATTTTTGCTATAGGGTATATGTTCTCTTCAGAGAGACAGAGGGACAGAAAGCATGAAATCATCACCCGGAGGGATGGCCATGCCACAATCCCTTCTCCTCCGCTTTCCTCCCGGGATCTTAGGTATGCGTGCACACGTGCCAGGCATGAGCTTAAGCCACCAGGTCTGGGACTTGAACCATAGTTAACTAAGTGGGAGTCCAGCAATGTAACCATTCTGCCATCTGCTGGTCCAAATAAATAAATAATTTTTTAAAAAAAGAAATGGGGGAGGGAACCAGCAGATGGAGGAATGGTTATGTTGCTGGACTCTGATGAAGTAGACTGCTTTTCAAGTCCTGGACCTGGTGGCTTAAATTTCACGCCAGGCACCTGTGCATGTGTGCCCAAGATTCTGAAAATGGAGGAGAAGGGACTGTGGCATGGCCATCCCCCCTGGGGGAGGTGATTTCTTGCTTTCTGTTTCTCTGTTTCTGTCTGGTGACCACACCTGCCCTACAGCAAAAATTTCTCAAAAAAAAAAAAAAGAACCAGGAAGATTTATTTCATAGGTTTTAGAAAAGCAAATGTTAGTTTAATTAAATAAAGTATTAAAATGTAAATATTATTTGATTGTACATTAATAATATTTTTGAGATAGTAAAGGAACAAAATATCCACAATTAAATGATCCCTTACTATTAGAGCTTCAGCGCATTGGCATCTGGCCATGCAGGTGTTTAGTAAGTTATTTTAGGAAGAACTGGTTCATATTGGAGACCATCTGCTCTAACTCTGTCATTTTTTTTCTTTTTTCTTTTTTTTTTGCCATAGGGCATGTGCGCTCACTGGAAAGAGACAGAAAGAGGGAAGGTGGGAAATCACCTCCCGGAAAAAAAATGGTCACACCACAATCCCTTTTCCTCTATTCTCCTCTTGTGATTTTGGGCATGTGTGCACACATGCCTAGTGTGTTTTCCATGCCCCCAGGCCCGTGGAGTCAGTCATATGGGATCCAGTGCCTTAACCACCACACCACCTGCTGGCCTCACCTTTTAAAAATGTATTATTTTTTTAATGAAAAGACTCATGTTTCATTATTATTACCCTAGTACTTTTCTTAGCTATCCAAATTGCTGAGAGAATATGGGTTTAAACACATCGTATTCCCAGCTCAGGCCAACATGGGAAGATGCCATCTGGATCTGGTTCAGCTGGTTCTGAACTTCATAGCTTATGAGATTTAGTGTATTAAACAGTGTCTTCAAGCCATGCATTTCATTTTATTAAATACATTTTTGCAAAGGAAACTTTTATTTCTCAAGGACTAACATTAATTTCACTTTTGAAAACTAGTTTTTATTCATGATAATTTTCAAAATATTCTTTTTATCCAAGAGACTTGGTATATTGATTTGAATTCCAACTGACAACCTAAAAGCTCTCTAGTAGATATTATTTTATTGGTTTCTGGAGGATGTGATGAATATTTAATTTTATTTATTATTATTATTATTTTAAAAATTTGCTATAGACATGTGTGGCCACCAGAGAGAGGCAGAGAGAGAGACAGACAGAGGGAAGGGGGAAAGTGAGAAAGTAAGCTGCCAGGTTCGGGACTTGAACTGCAGTCAGCCACGTGAGAGTCCAGTCCCTTAACCACCATGCCACCTGCTGGCCCCATGACATCACTTTTCAATGGTAATGAAAGCAATCTGCACAGAGACTATTAACATTTGAGGCAGTTACATGTAATCTACTCCCTCTGCTTTCCATAGGAGAAGCATGTGAACCTGTTACATATTGAATCACGAAAGTCAAAGAGGAGAAACTCAGAATTTGAGATTTTTGTAGACTGTGATATCAACAGGGAACAACTGAATGATATTTTCCATCTGTTGAAGTCTCATACTAACGTTCTGTCTGTGAACCCACCCGATAATTTTACTCTGAAGGAAGATGGTAAGTTGGAAATGTAGAACTGCTACTTAGGAGATTAAGTATCTAATGTGTGTCTAATCTTATATTTATCTTGAGGACATGAAAACAAAAATAAAACACCATTTCTTCAAATTGCTTATAGTCTGATATTGAAGAGAACACAAATATAATTGTTCAAAACATTAAAGCAAAAAGATAAACCAATATTTGATCAAATGTGAGAGAAGTGAAAAAGAGCTATAATAAAGAATTCAGAATGTTTAGAAATGGATTGTTATCTCTCGGGACCAGCAGATGGCATAATGGCAACGTCGCTGGACTCCCATGTAGTAGACCATGGTTCGAGTCCTGGACCATGGCTTAAATTCATACCGGGAATGTGTGCATATGTGCCCAAGAGCCTGAGAGGAGAATGGAGGAGAAGGGATTGCAGTGTGGCCATCCCCTCTGAGGGGCGATTTCTTTCTCTCTGTCTCTCTCTGTCTTTCTGGTGAGCACATGCATCCTATAGCAAAAACCTCTCAAAAAAAAAAAAAAAAAGAAAAGAAAAGAAAGAAATGGATTGTTACCTCTCAATTTCCAAGTCATGAAGCATTTCTTAATTCTGTAAATCTCCAATTCATAATCCCTGAGATTTAGTAACTCTCAAAAGCTTAGCATGTAGCAGATAGTAAATAAATATGTGTATTTGTTGAGAACATTGACAGTTGTGGACAACTGTGAAATATGTTATGTAGAGCATTCCTGTCCCCAGATAGAAAATTGGAGGAAAAAGAACTGCAGTGTGGCCAGGGTCCAGTGGGGCTGGGGAACAGCTCTCTCTCTCTCTCTGTCTCTGTGTATGTGAGTGTCTCTCTCTCATGTACCTGCCCACTGGCATTAAAAATAAAAAAGAAAGAAGAAAAAAGAAATGAGTAGATTTTTTTACCTCGTTGGAATTTGGTTACTTCATCTACACAAGGAAGGGCTTGTAAACCAAATGGTTCCATTGATATTTAGGGTATACCAACTTGTGTCAAATATTTCTACTAAGTGGGGCCTACAGCTGGCATGTGGTTGAGGCACCAGACTCCCACATGGCTCACTGAGGTTCGACCTGGCGGCTTGCTCTCTCTCTCTCTCTCTTTTCTACAGAGAGAAATATTGAATCAGATATTTCTATGAAGAAATGAGGAAACAAAAAATGACACTTCCTATCCGCCAGTCCTTCCCAGTCTTCATCTAAGACAAATATCTACACAGATGTATTATGGTAAAACAGCAAACGCCTTTAGAGGGCTGGACATGCAGTGTCATGGGCACGCAGAGGACAGAGAATTGGCTCTGTCCACCGGGTCAGGGAAGGCTTTATGGAATGAGGAGGTCTCATTAGATTTGAGTCTTAAAGAAAGAGAAGGATATTCTTAGGACAACAGAAGGGTGGGATGGGGTGGGGTGGGGAGTGGGATAGGTGTTTCATGTGGAAGACAGTCTCTGCAGGCCCCCAAGTCTTATGAGGGCTTGTATGTCTGAGGAGTGGTGACGTCAGGGGACAAAGATGTAAATGATCGCTAAGATCATTTTCATCATTAAAATAAACAAAGTTCCTACTAAGTTTGGATGTTGGTCTGTAAATGAAGCTGTGCATTCTTACTCTGCTTTCATAGGATAACTAAATGTGCACGTTAACTTTTTATCTTTTTTGGGGGGTGTCTGATACTAAAGTACAATATTTCTCCAACCCTTGGGAAATCAACCTGAAGACTCAAAAATATTTTGAAGCCTTCAAATTTTGACTAAAACTTACTTTTGTAAATTTCATGTTTGAGAAACATGCTGGGCATGTGTGTACAAGTGCCCCAAATCCTGATGTGCTAGAGATGGAGGAGGAAGGATTGCGGGGCTGGGAGGTGCTTGCTTTCTCACTCTCTGACAAGCATACATGCCCTCTGGCAATAAAACAAACAAAAATGACTTCTTAGAAATAGAGTAGCTATTGTGTACATTTTCCCTTGACGTACAGCTCTAGTTAAAAATCTTATTTAGGGCCAACTGGTGGCATAGTGGTTGTGGCAGGATCCCACGTGGCCAATTATGTGGTTCAAGTCCCAGACCCTGGGGCCTGAAAAACATACTGGGTATGTGTGTGTGTGTGTGTTCGTGCAAGTGTGCGCATGTGCATGTGCATGCATTCCCAAAATCCCAGCAAGGGAATGGAAGAGAAGGGATTGTGGTGTGGCCATCACCATGGGAGAAGGAGGGGTGCTTTTATATTCCCCTCACCCCTGCCCGGCCTCTTCTCTGTCTCTCTCTGGTGAGACCATGTGCCCTTTAACAAAAATTTAAAAAAAAAATCCAAATCTATCTATTTATTCTTCCTTTTTGTCTTAAGATCGTCTCTTGAACTTTTAGTGGTTTTTGTGTCTTGCAGGTATGGAAACTGTTCCTTGGTTTCCAAAGAAAATTTCCGACCTGGACCATTGTGCCAACAGAGTTCTGATGTACGGATCTGAGCTAGATGCGGACCATCCTGTAAATATTTTTAATAAATATTATTATGAAAATAGTTTAGAGCAAACTACAGATGAAGGACAACTTTTTTTTTTTTTGTCCTAGAAGGTGTTTTTTCTAGACCAAATTTAGGACGTGTCACTAGACTCCTTGTTGGTGGACGTGGGACAACTGAAAAGCATCTAACTTCATTGATTTCCAATCATCTGGTCCTGGTTTGGCACTCCTCATACTAAGGATCTAACTTCATTGATTTCAAAGCGTCTGGTCCTGGTTTGGCACTCCTCATACTAAGGAGCTGTGTGAGCATGAGGATGGTGTCTGAGTCAGTTTTATTAAAATGGGCGTGGGTGTTCCTTTCTTCCCTGTCATTTGCCTTATTGGCTTTCCTCCAGAGCTTTGATTTTTGATTTCTTAGTTTGTCTATATTTTCTTAAATATTTTTCTAAGTATAAATTTCAACATTATTATATTGTCTTTTTTTTTTTAATTTGTTACTATTATTTATTTTTTAAATTTGACCAGAGAGAGCCAGAGAAAGGGAAAGTGAGAAGGCAAGCCACCAGGTCTGGGACTCAAACTGCCATAGGGCATGCAGGCTTCCGGTGCCCCACCCACCACGCTAACTGCCAGTCCCAAAGTGTCTTTTTAAAATTGTTATCTCTGTTTGCATTTTGTATGAAACTCTAAGGCTAGATTCAGGTAATTCACTATTTCAAATAACAATTACTATTTTATTATTAATTATTGTTACAGGTAAATATAACTAAAGATGTAATCGAATGTTTAAGAAAAAAGTAAACTTTTGGAAAAGAGCCACATAGTTAACTAGGGTAGTGGTTTCCTTATTCTTTAAGCTATTTTATCTTTATAACTACTGTAGTATTTTTGTATCTTTTTGTCTATTCCTCCTTTTATCTTTGTAGTCTCTGAAGTATGAAAGCTGTCACATAACTTGACTTTAAAATAAAAATGATCAAAAATATCAGACAGGGCTGGCTCACAGTAACACTGATATAGCCCATTAATATAATAGCTCAAGTAATAATAAAATGTTTCCTAAATATCATGTGTTAAGTATTTTTATTATGACTATTTAAAAGCTTATTTTTAATTATCAGGGCTTCAAAGACAATGTCTATCGTAAAAGACGAAAGTATTTTGCAGACTTGGCTATGAACTATAAATAGTAAGTATCTTATGAAAACAGCATATCCAACTTTGAGGTAATAAGATAAACGAACAGGATACATTGCGTTCATTTAATAAAGAGAAAGTAAAGTAAGTGCCGTTGCTGGTTGAATGCTAATTCCAAACAACTCCTTGTCTTTATCTCATCAGTGGAGAACCCATCCCTAGAGTGGAATTCACTGAGGAGGAGATTAAGACCTGGGGAACCGTCTTCCGAGAGCTCAACAAACTCTACCCAACCCACGCTTGCAGAGAGTATCTCAAAAACCTTCCTTTGCTTTCTAAATACTGTGGCTATCAAGAAGACAATATCCCGCAGTTGGAAGATGTCTCAAACTTTTTAAAAGGTAATACGCGGATTAATTTTTTGTAAGGGGAATGTTGAACTCGGTTTTGATCATGACAGCATTTTGAAGTAGAGGCATAAAGTTTACACAGGTCAGAATTTTCCTGGACTGCGTTCTGGAGCATTGGATTCAGGACTGGGCGCCATACTTGAAGAGGCGAAATGGTAACCTGGAGCAAGAGTGGAGGGCAGTGAGCGGAGTTATGAGGGAATCTGCAAACGTGTTGTATAAGGAACACTTGAAGGACTCTTTGGGTGTTTAATCTAGAGATGTAGGGTATATCACAGCTTTATTTAAATATTTGGAAGCCATTTTATGTAACAGAGATTAATACATAACCCTAAAATGGAGAAACACTGGCTAGAAATCACAAGTTTTGGACTCCAACTGGAGAATATCTTGTTAAAAGATTTGTCTGAAAATAAACTTGAACCCTTTAGGGAGTGCAAGGTGAAGTGAAAGGGAACCCGTGCTTCTCTCTTCCCCTCCCTCTCCTACCCTCCCCTCCACTCCCCTCTCCTCTTCTCCCCTCTCCTTCTCTCTTGTTCCCTCTCTCCCCTTCCCTCCCCTCCTCTCCTCTCTTTCTCTCTCTCTCTCTTCCTCCTTCCTTCCTTCCTTCTTTTTTAAATTTTGCATTCAACAGAGAAAGACGGGGTGGGGGGCAGGGAAGAAAGAAAGCACCCCTATGGGGCATGGTCACACTGCGATCTCTCCTCTGTCTCTTCCTCCTGTCAGGACTTTAGGCATACATGCACACATGTCCTGCATGTTTTCAAGCTGCTGGTCCCAGACTTAAATTGTGCGGTGGGCCATGTAGGATCCAGCTACCTTAATCACCATGCCACTGGCTGGCCTCAGTGCTCTTTGTACTTTAAAAATATATATTTTACTTATTATCATTAATTTTACTTGCTAGAGGGCATGTGTACTCACCAGAGAGAGACACAGAGAGAAAGAGGGAGAAGGAAACTGAGAAAGTAAGCACCAGGTCTGAAACTTGAACTGCAGTCAGCCACGTGGAAGTACGCACCATTTAACCACTGTGCCACTTGCTGGCCGCAAGATAGCAGTTCTTTCTACTTTTTTCATTTACTGTGTGACCTTGGGCACACTGAGTCTCTGAGCCTCCCTTTTATAATTGTCACAATAAGGAGAAAGATCCTTAACTCATTTTGTAAACATGAAAGTAGATGTGAAACATAACAGGTCTAACATCGCCAGTTGTGGTAAGTGCTTAACACTTATTCGTTCCTTCAGCACACATGATTCATCTTAGCTCCTATGCCCTCCTGTGTCACTTGGCCCCATTGACAGAATTAAAATGCTGTGGTTGGGGCCAGCAGTTATGTCTCTGGGCTCCCCCATGACTGACCACAGTTCGAGTCCCAGACCCTGTGATTTGAATGAACTTTATGCCAGATGTGTGTGCATGCGTACCCAAGATCCCAGGAGGAGAATGGAGGAGAAGAGATTGAGGTGTGGCCATCCTCCCTCGGGGGTGATTTCTCACTTTCCCTCTCACTGTCTCTGACTCTCTCTCTCTCTGGTGAGGGCACATTCCCTAAGGCAAAAATCTCTTCTTTTTAAAAAAATGCTGCAGTCAGTGGTCTGTTCTAGCGAAGATTTTCTGTTTCTCCTTATCATGTTGCAGAGCGCACGGGTTTTTCCATCCGTCCTGTGGCTGGTTACCTGTCACCAAGAGATTTCTTATCAGGGTTGGCCTTTCGAGTTTTCCACTGCACTCAGTACGTGAGACACAGTTCAGACCCTCTCTATACCCCAGAGCCGTAAGTACCTCTACTCCAGCCCTTCCTTCATCAAGGGTTATTAAAACAGTGACACCTACCTCCTGGCTTTTGGTGAAGACTAAATGAATTAGCACACGTAAAGCATTTGGCATGATGCTTGGCACATGACACACGTTCTGTGTGCTATACATATTAGCCATCATCATCCTTATTACTCATCGATTACCCGTTTAGTGACAGGTGAGGTTGTAAGGATTGGGGATGAACAGTGAAAAAAAGAAAAAAAAAGAAATCAGACAAAAATTCCTGCTTCCACAGAGCCTGTTTTTCAATGGGGGATATAGAAAATAAACAAGTGAATGTATATGTTATCTCAGGTGGTGAGAAGAGCCACAGAGAAAAATAAAACAGAGAAAGAGGATGGAAGGGCGTGTGTTTGGGGGGTGGAGTTGCTGTTTTGAGAGGGGTGAGCAGGGAGGGCCCTGCTGAGAAGCTAACACTTGTGCAGAGACCTGCTTCAAGTAGGGGTGGGGTGTGTGGCTGTCTCTGGGGATCTGATACGTCCTTCTATGTGTGTGTCTGTGACTGCCAAGATTTTGAACCCAAGTCATTTCTTTATTTGATCTGCTACCAAAGCAACCCCACCTGGTTCAATGAGACAAAGTAAGATGGGATTTTGACTTGACCGAATGACTGATTATGCGTTGTGCTAAGTATCACTGGGTGCTCAACGTATCGGGATTTTGACTTGACCGAATGATTGATTATGCTTTTGTGCTAAGTATCACTGGGTGCTCAACGTATTCTTCTATTTCAGAGATACCTGCCATGAACTCTTAGGTCACGTTCCGCTTTTGGCTGAACCTAGTTTCGCTCAGTTCTCCCAAGAAATTGGCCTGGCTTCCCTCGGAGCGTCAGAGGAGGCTATTCAAAATCTGGCAACGGTATGAGTATGAAAAGAGCTGTAAAGAGCAGCGATGCCCCAATGGGGCGGGAGTATTTGTGTAGTTTAAAAGTTCACATTTAAGAAGATCCTTCAAAAATTTTTCTCTACTCATTTGATTTTCTTTTTTTTCTTCTTTTTTTTCTTTTTTTTTGGAGAGGTTTTTTCGCTATAGGGCGTGTGCGCTCGCCAGACAGACAGAGAGAGACACAGAGACAGAAAGCGAGAAATCACCCCCCAGGGGGGATGGTCACGCCGCAATCCCTTCTCCTCCATTCTCCTCTCGGGATCTTGGGCACGTACGCACACACGCCCGGCGTGAGTTTTAAGCCACCGGGTCCGGGACGTGAACCGCGGTCGACTACGTGGGAGTCCAGCGACATAGCCATTACGCTAACTGCTGGTTCCCTCATTTGATTTTCTTCAAAAAATTTAACGAATATAAAATGTGAAGGGTTATAAAAAGGAAACATGAGCTTTTGTTTGTTCATTTCTTTGCCATAGGGTGCACCGGAGAAAGACAGAGAGAAGGAAAGGGAAAAAATCCCTCCCCAGGAGGGATGGCTATGCCATAATTCCTTCTCCTTTCTCCTCTCAGGAGAATGCACCCAGCATGATTTTCAAGCTGCGGGTCTTGAACCACTGTTGGCCATGTGGGAATCCAGCGTTGGACCCAAAGGAGTCACAAGCTTGCCAGGGAGATAGAGATAGAAATTGAGAAATCACACCCCCCCACACACACACACCAGGAATGACCATGCTGCAGTCCCTCCTCCTCCATTCTCCTCTTGGGATTTTGGGCATCCATGCACATGTGTCCGGCATGAGTTTTAAGTCTATGGATCTGGGGCTCGAATCATGGTTGACTGCATGGAAGTCCAGCGACATAACCATTATGCTATCTGCTGGTCCCAGTAATTTTCAATAGTAAATAAGAGTCCTCAGAATACAGGTTAGAGAAATGCTGGTTTAAAAATGAGAGATAGTGGGACCAGCAGTTAGCGTAATGACTATGTTGCTGGACTCCCATGTAGCCAACTGCGGCTTGAGTCCCGGACCTGGTATCTTAAAATCATGCAGGCGCACTTGCATATACCAAAGATCCCGAGAGGAGAATGGAGGAGAAGGGATTGCAGTGTGGCCATCCCCCCCGGGGGGTGATTTCTCACTTTCTGTCTCTCTGTCTCTCTCTGTCTTTCTGGTGAGCGCACATGCTCTATGGCAAAAACCTCTCCCCCCCCCAAAAAAAAAGATAGTGATTGAATGTTTAAAAAAATAATTGGAGTAATAATAATAATAATCTGGAAAAAATGAAAAGCTATTGGATGATGATGATGGGGATTTTAATGTCTTTGTATTGACCGATACGAATGGTATTCCTTCTGGAAAAAGAAACATAATACACTGTAAATTATATGTGATTCAATGTAATATAAACAAGATTATGATAATAATAAAAAATAAAAAAAAGAAATGCTGGTTTAGAATGAGGCCAGATTGTGGGAAGGCGCATGAACTATGCTGGTGTGTCAGCCTTTATTCCAGGGTATTTTGAGTCAGTGACTAAAGTTGAAACTTGTTTTAAATCGAATCATTCAGAACACAAAAGTAACATTGGTGTCCTTTTGCAGTGCTACTTTTTCACCGTGGAGTTTGGTCTGTGTAAACAGGATGGGCAGCTAAGAGCCTTTGGTGCCGGATTGCTCTCCTCTATCAGTGAGCTCAAAGTAAGCGGTAAACTTTGCACACTGCCACATTTGCCTGAGGTCGCCGTGACAGCCAGAAATGCTTTCTGTATTTGAATAAGAGCTTTCTGTGGAAAACACTTGGGGTGGTAATAAACATTATTTGAAGACATTTTTCTCTATTTCCTGAGTGTCTGAATACACACACACACACACACACACACCAAACACACACACAGAGTATATAAATTTTCTTTTAAATAAAAAAACTTTAGAGCTTTTACTTTCAAAGTCTTGCTGTTTCCTCACCATTTCTCATATGCTAATATTAACTGGTATAATTTCTAGGGGAATTCTTTTGAGATTTATTATTTACTCAATACACAAACTTGTTTCGTGACAAGTGTGAAAAACACTGTCCAAGGTACTACCTCGCTCTCATGGAGCCTGCCACCTAGTGGTGGGTATAAGTCATGTACAAGAACAGCCAGTGCCGTACAAAGGAGGTGTCAAAATGCAGGAGTCAGTTAAGATCTTCGCTGCCTCTTCACAGAGAGGAGAGTTACGACACAGCCCTGGAGATGATCTTGGGGACATTCATGGGAAACAGCAGGCCATTTGTTGCACTGGAGTATATTGTGCATTAAATAGAACTGTAGCAACCAAGTTTGGAGCTGTTGGTTGGGACCGTTGTGTTAGTGATATGCTTAGAGATTTGCCCATTCTGGAGGTGGTGTGATCTATAAAAACAGATAGTATTGTTTGATTCACTGAATCTTTGTCTTCTAGCATGCACTCTCTGATCATGCCAAAGTAAAGCCCTTTGATCCCAAGACCACCTGCAAGCAGGATTGTCTCATCACAACCTTCCAGGATGTCTACTTTGTATCGGAAAGCTTTGAGGATGCAAAGGAGAAGATGAGGTAAAAAATGTCTTTCTCATGCCTTTATTTTCTTCTGCGAAAGAGAGGTCCGATGATGGTAACAGGTCACAGAATTAAGCAGCTAGCTTGTTAGGCGGCCACTAGGAGCCTTCTGCCTGTTACACATCTCCCTTTCACAGCAAGTATGTAGAGTATGTCATAGATAATGTCGCCGGATATTTGCAGATGTGAATGAGATAAACTGAGATATTGCTTTCTTCCCATTCCTTGCCATCAGATGGTTTGTACCCTAGTAAGGCAAATAAACTATTCAAAAGTTACTATTAAAAATATGAGAAGTGACAAGAGCCCAGGAGCGGTAGAGATAAATCATTGTTCTGCATTTTTCTTTAAGAGAAATTCATTCCAGCTGCGGGAACAGAGAAAGCTTAATGGCATTTGAGAACCGAGTTGAAGGATAGATAGTATTAGATATGTTTTAGGCTGAGAGGCATCATGAAAAAAGGTGAAAATTCAGAAGATATATGTGATGCAATCAAAGCTATGCTTTAGTTATTAATCAGCTAAATGCATGGTTAAGAAAGGAGGCTCCTGGAGACAGGAAACTTTCTAGGAGGTTTTTTTTTTCTTTTTCTTTTTTAAGGTTTTTGCCTTAGGGCACATATCTCATCAGAGACAGTAAGAAGGAAAATGAGAAATCATCCCCAAGAGGGAAGGGCCACGCTGCAAACCCTTCTCCTCCATTGTCCTCCTGAGATACTGGGCATGTTTGCACAGGCTCTCAGCATGAGTTTCAGACCACCAGGTCCAGGACTCAAACTGCGGTCAGCCATGTGGTATCCAGCACCTTAACCACCACGGCACCTGCTGGCCCCTAGGAAATTCTTTTAACACTTCGGTGAAAAGAAAACTGTGAACTAACATAGGAGTAGTAGAAAAGGAAAGGACTATAGAAGTAGTGTCAACAAAACAGCGTTTGGTGACAGGGGTCATGAGTTCACTTGGAGAGAATGGGGATGGATAGGGGTTGAAAATGTATTCCTTGTCTTGCAGGGATTTACCAGTTGGGGAGTTAGGCCACGCATAGAACCAAATACCAATACCAGCCTGGCCTTCTCTCGCACGTGCAGCACTTCTGTACAAGTTAGAATGGGTCCCCTCTGGGGAGGTCAGATGGCTTGCAACCTGAATTTCAGGTCCTACCCATGTATAATTGTCTTCTGCTGCACGATTTCCTTAGGGATCTTAAACACAGTTGTTCTTGGGGTTGCCCAATGAGAGGTTCAAATGTTGGCTTTTTAGAGGAGGCAAAACTTCAATACTTGAAGTAAAAGTAGAATTTAGGTCATTTGAGAGAAGGCTAAAGAAAAAAAAAGTTTTTAAAGAGGTTTTTGCCTTAGGGTGTGTGTGTTCGCCAAAGAGAGAGAGAGAAAAAACCAGAGAGACAGTGAGAGGGAAAGGAGAAATCACCCCCCAGGGGGGATGGCTATGCTGCGACCCCTTCTCCAGTTTCCTCCTAGGATCTCAGGCACACATGCACATGCACCTGCTGTTATTTTGAAATCACTGGGTCCGGGACTTGAACTGCAATCAGCCATGTCACAATCCAGTGATGTAACCACTACACCATCTGCTGATCTTGAGAAGAAAGCATTTTAAGCAGAAAGAATATACATGTGCAGGAGGCAGGATAATGCCTGGCCTGTTTTGGGGTGTGTGTGTGTGTGTGTGTGTGTGTGTGTGTGTGTCTATAGTTAGGTAAGACACAATGGAAAGGTCTTCACTATACGGTCAAGTCTTATTGTTTACTGATAAAGCTAGCATGGTAGGTCTCATTCCTGTAGTCAAGAGTTATATAAATGGAGCCAAGAGTTGGAGTGGTGGTTGGGGGTGCTGGACTCCTACATGGCTGACTGTGGTTCAAGTCCTGGACCTGGTGGCTTGCTTGCTCAATTTCCTTCTCTCTCTCTCTCTCTGTTTCTCACTGGTAAAATAAAAAAAAAAAGATTTATGAATAAAATGAAATAAAGTAATTCTTATAAAAAAAGAGTTATAGGGACCAGCAGTTAGCATAATGGCTATGTCGCTGGACTCCCATGTAGTCGACCGTGGTTTGCATCCTGGACCCAGTGGCTTAAAACTCACGCCGGGCGCGTGCGCGTGCGTACCCAAGATCCAGAGAGGAGAATGGAGGAGAAGGGATTGCGGCATGGCCATCCCCCTGGGGGGTGATTTCTCGCTTTCTGTCTCTCTGTCTCTCTCTGTCTGTTTGGCAAGCGCACGCGCCCTATAGCAAAAACCTCTCCAAAAAAAAAAAGAGTTATATAAAGTATTACATCAATAATGAAGC